TGTGTGTGGAGGGTCCCACAGGTGCCCAAACTGTGGCCTTGCCCCACCCACGCCACCTTTCCCCCAAGGCCCCGCTCCTGTGCTGCCTCTTCTCCCGGGACCCTGCCCCCCACCCGCTCCTCTCCACCTCCCTCCCCCTGTTGCTCACTCTTACTGCATGTAAAAATGGGGGAGGGGGGAGCATGGCCCCAGCCCCTCCTCTCCCCCCAGTTCTGGCGCCCCTGTCCATATTAATACCCCCTAACATGAAGTAAGCAATGGGGAGGGGGGGGCTGTTTTTCAGTACACACATTATAAAAGCAGGTCTCCTCCTTTACCATTCCATTTTCTAGAAACGTGTGAACTGGTTTGGAATCAGGTAAGAACAGGAAAAATCAAGTAAGACTATTTTCTGGAATAAGAACAACGTTGTTTTTTTGGTTTTGTTTTGTTCTGAATGTTCACACACGTCCTGATTTTTGCCAGGATTAGAAACAGAAATACCAAAACACTGCAAAGAAAGTTAGTCTCATCATAGCCATGATTTTTAACTGGGCCTTAACCATGCCGCAAGTATTATCAGTAAAATTAACAGCACCAGCAATTGCATCCATTTAGATACCTATCTGGTTTGAGAGTCCTAGAGCAAATGTAAGCCATATGGAAGCAGTTACAGTGGTGGGGAGGGACTGTTGGTTAAGTCAGGGGGTGGGCAGCACAGTGAGAGACGTAAAGTTTCTTTATTTTTGCTCTGGTTTACATAGAATGAGGGAAATTGTGCCCCTAATCCAGGCCACACAGAGCCCTGCTTACAGAAGAACAGATCTGTAGTTTAATTGTGTCGAGAACAGATGTGACTCCAGTGCATTGCAAAGTCCAGAGCTCCAGGCAGATAGTACCTTACAGTCATGAAGAGAGGGACGGGGGGGAGGGCTGAGGGAGGGCCATTGGAGGAGAGGGCTGGGTCTGTTAGATCTGCAGCTACCCGAATTCAATGGCCAATCCCTTCACATACACAGTGGGAAGAGGTGCAGTAGCAGCGACAGAAATTAAGTGCATTAGTGTACAAGTGGGGTTTTGCTCCCATTTTGGAAAGCTCAAACAAACATCTGTAAAAGAGCAGGCATGAGTAGTTGTGAAAGAGTGGGCATGAATAGTTGAAGGCTATCTTGAGGGCCTCTGAAAATCTGGCATTTAATTTCACTGACTAGTTGAAAAAGATTTTAAATGTAAAAGGGAAGCACGTTTCAGTTGAACTGAAATATGGCATAATGAGAAGTCAAATACAATAGTACTAATGGAGAACAAGTAGAGTGTCACTCACTCCTAAACTGACATGCACGAGACACCAAATATGGCCACAATAACCCTTTGCGTGATCTCCAGACATACACGAAGTCCCATGATTTTCAAAGGAATTTAGATGCCTAAAGATGCAGATGGGTACTCAGTGACATTTTCAAGAGCACTAAGCGGGTTAGGTGCCTAACTCCCATTGGGTTGAATGAAAATCTGACACTGTAAAGTTACAGTCAAAGAGTAATTTTATTGGATCTTATGTCTAGGTATACAGCAGTTGAAGTGGCTATATTGAATCTACTGATACATAAAAATGGTCTTACTGGTTCAGACCAATAGTCCATCTTGATTCAGACCAATAGTCCATCTAGCCCACTATCCTCTCTTCCAACAGTGGCCAGTACCATATGTTTCAGCAGGAATGAACAGAACAGGGCAATTATCGAGTGATCCATCCCCTGTCATCCAGTCCAACTTTTAATCTTTTAATCAGTTACTGATCCATGAGAGGACCTTTCCTCTTATCCCATGACTGCTTACTTTGCTTAAGAGCCTTTGATGCGGGATCTTCTCAAAGGCTTTCTGAAAGTCCAAGTACAGTAACTCCTCACTTAACATCCTCCCGCTTAACGTTGTTTCAAAGTTATGTCGCTGCTCAATTAGGGAACATGCTCGTTTAAAGTTGTACAATGCTCCCTTATATCGTCGTTTGGCTGCCTGCTCTGTCCACTGCTTGTAAGATTCTGTGGAAAAGCAGCAACTTTACAAGGGAGCATGGCACAAGTTCCTCTTCTCCGCCTCCTCCCCCTCCCTCCCAGCGCTTCCCTCACCGCCAAACTGTTTGGCGGCGGTTACGACTTTCTGGGAGGGAGGGGGAGGAGCGGGGAAGTGCCGCATCTCCGCTCCTCCCCCTCCCTCCCAGAAAGTCCTAAGTGCCACCAAATGGGGGGTGGGGGTGGAGCGGAGACACGGCGTGCTCCGGAGAGGAGGTGGAGTGAGGATGGGAAGAGGTGGGCCTGGAGTGGAGCGGGGACGGGAAGAGGCAGGCCTGGAGCATCCCCCGGCAAAGTCGGCGCCTGTTCTTCTCGGGGGAAGCTGCCACTGCTGCTGTGCAAGGTGCTTCCTAGCGTCCTTGCCTGCAGCGGGCTGTGCCTGTGTGGGGTAAGCCAGGGGCACTTCCCAACCACAGTACAATACTGTACAGTATATAATGCCTTTTGTCTGCCCCCCCAAAATTTTCTTGGAACCTAACCCCACGTATTTACATTAAATCTTATGGGAAAATTGGATTTGTTTAACATTGTTTCACTTAAAGTTGCATTTTTCAGGAACATAACTACAATGTTAAATGAGGAGTTACTGTACACTATTTCAACTGGACACCCTCAAAGAATTCTAATATCTTGACGAGGCATGACTTCCCTTTACAAAAACCATGTTGACTCTTCCCCAACATATCATGTTCATCTATGTGTCTGATAATTCTGTACTTTACTATAGTTCAATCAATTTCCCAGTATTGAAGTTAGGATTACCAGCATGTAATTGCAAGGAATGCCTTTTTCAAAAATAGGCATTACATTAGCTATCCTCCAGTCATCTGGTACAGAGTCTGAATTAAAACAAGACTTTACATACCATAGTTACTAGTTCCGCAATTTCGCATTTGAGTTCCTTCAGGACACCATCTGGTCCTGGTGACTTATTACTGTTTAATTTTATCAGTTTGTTCCAAAACCTCCTCTAGTGACACCTCAATCTGGGACAGTTCCCCAGATTTGTCACCTAAAAAGAATGGCTCAGGTGTGGGAATCTCCCTCACATCCTCTGCAGTGAAGACCGATGCAAAAAATTCATTTAGCTTCTCCTCAATGGCCTTGTATTCCTTGAGTGTTTCTTTGTCCCCTTGATTATCCGTGGCCCCACTGATTGTTTGTCAGGCTTCCTACTTCTGATGTACTGAAAAAATTGCTGTTTGTTATTGTGTCTTTTGCTAGTTGCTCTTCAATTCTTTTTTTGGCCCACCTCATTATCAGTGTCTCCAACCTTTTTTTACTTCCAAGATCGCTTTTTGAATTTAAGGGCAGCCCAGGATCTACCCCACCCCTTCCTGAGGCCCCGCCCCTTCCCCGAGGCCCTGCCCCACTCACTCCAACCCCCCTCTCTCCGTCGCTCGCTCTCCCCCACCCTCACTCACTTTCACTGGGCTGGGAGGGGGTTGGGGTTCTGAGCTGGGGCTAAGGGGTTCACAGTGTGGGCTCCAGGCTGAGCCTGGGGCAGAGTTGGGGTGCGGGAGGGGGCATGGGGTGCTGGCTCTGGAAGAGAGTTTGGATGTAGGAGGGGGCTCCGGGCTGGGGCAGAGTGTTGTAATGCAGGAGGGGGCATGGGGCGCTGGCTCTGGGAGGGGGGGTCAGGGCTGGGGTTCAGGGTGCTGGTTCCAGGAGGGGGGCGCTTACCTCAGGTGGATCCCAGGTGGCGGTGAAGCGGGGCTTGGCCCCACTCAGGCACATTGGCACCTCCTCCCCATCATGAGCTGGGCCACCCCCGCACCCTGCCAGCCAGTAGTGCACCATGTGGCCATGCCGCTCCCGGAAGGGTCCAATGCGCCTCTGCGGCCCCTGGGGGAGGCACGTGGCTCCACATGCTGTCCCTCTCTGCAGGCACCACCCCAGCAGCTCCCATTGGCCACACCTCCCTTCCAGGCAGGACCAGCGCGCAGAGACCCCTGGCCCCTCCCACCACCGGCGGGGTCACGGGGGGGCATGTTGGCCACTTCTGGGAGTGGCGTGGGGCCGCGGCAGGCAGGGAGCCTGTCTTAGCATCAGGCAGCACCGCTGCGGACAGAGATCGTGATTGACTGAGAGAGTCTCCAGGATTTACGGGTTGGTGACCACTGGTCTATCTAGATGCATAACCTACACACCCAGCAGGCAGTTCACCACGCGGTTCTCCTAGTCACCACAAACCCAACCATCTATATTTCTAATAATTGAATTCCTCATTACTATTACCTGTCTCTTCCTAATAACTGGGGTCTGTGCAAGAGGATACCATGACATCATCTGGAAGAAGGGTCCCAACTATGGGATAGTTTCCTTCCTCTCCAGCTTGATTTCTCCTTCTCCAAGACTTTCATCCTCCTCAACGGCACATAGGTGGTCAAAACTATCAGAATGGGACCGCTTTACTGTGTTCCTGATAGTCTCAGCTATATACCTCTGTGCCTCCCTTAGCTCCTCTAGTTCAGCCACTCTGTCCTCTGGAGACCGTACTCAGTCCTGGAGGAGCATGAGTTGCTTGTATCAAATGCACACGTATCCCTCCCCTCCACAAGGCAGGTAATCACACATGCTGCATTCAGTGCAATAAACCGGATAGCTCCCCACCCTGCTGATGGAATTCTGCCTACAATATTTGTACTCTTTAAAGGTGGGGATTATTTGTTTGTTCTTTGTTTTGGGTGGGGGAGAGGGCTATTGGTCTAACTATGGAGTCTATTTGTTAAGTGTTTCTGGTTCTCATGCTCCCTCTCTACACTCTCTCACAAAATTCCCCTGATTGCTTTGCTACCGCCTCTGGTTGCTTAGGAGCTGGCTTTTTAAACCTCTGTCCTCCCTGAGTTAGCCCCGCCCCCTTGTCAAGAGATCCTTATGGATCAAAGGATTGCAGGCTAGAGCCTCCTTAGTAAATGTACATGCTTTGTCGTCATTTTTTCTATACAGTTATTTTACCAGGTGGAAGGAGACATGTGCTTGAAGATAATTGAAAATGGAAACCGCAGAGATATCCACATCAGAGAAGGGGAGGTAAACTGGGGTTTGTTTTTGTCATTATTGCACGTGTTAAATGACTCTCATAACAAGTATTTCAAATCAACCTTCCACTGCAGTGCAAGATAAAATAATGATCAATTAATGATTAATAATATTTTGAATTCAATATAATAAATGCCATTCTAAAAGGTACCAAACCACTACACAAACAATATATTGCACGTAAAATTTCAGTGAAAAGCAGCAACAACTGGGATATAAAATGGCAGCCAGACACAACACCGGAAATAGTGTGGAGAAGGAGGGAACATTTTGTCCAAGGACATTGGGGCAAATCCTTGTTCACTTATTTACAAAGTCTCAGGGTTTAACCACAGCACTAGCCTACTTAGGCAGGTAGCTGCTGGAAAACAAGTTTATTTCCAAACTGCAGTCGCAGACCCACACACAGTTTGTCTTTTTTCTCTCAGATCGAGTACCTCCTATTAGTCAGTTGGGTCTGGAGAGAACCACATGCCCTATCAGTCAATGATAAGCACTTGCCATGTTGGAGAAATAGTAATGGAGGACTAATTTAGGAATCCTGTTGTGCTAACAACAAGCTTTCCTTTAATTTCACTTACCACAGCTCAGAAATTATAGTAACTTTCTAGATCTCAGGTAGGGTGACCAGTTGGTTCCTCATTTTGATTGTCTAACAGCCACAAATGATACAGCTGGCAAGAGAGCAGCTCAATATCCGAGAAGGCAATGCCTGCTGCTGAATGAAAGCTTGTCATTAACAGGACACCAGCCTGAGAAAGCTAGCAACAGCATCTGTTTTGCTGCTGGTATCAACGTGCGCTCAGTTGCCAAGAAACATCATATCAACAGGAATAGAGAATAAGCGAGAGGGTGAACCAAAGGCCTGCAAAAAAGAAAATAAACCTACATGACACTGTTATATTTATTGTTTCCAATATCTTTGTCTGGGCAGATGTTTCTCCTACCTGCCAGGATACCACATTCTCCTCAGAGATATGCAAATACTGTGGGACTCGTGATTGAGAGGAAAAGGCTAAACACAGAAACAGATGGACTTAGGTGAAATATGGTTTTCTACTTTGGACATATAGTTAATCTGTTAAACTTCAAAATATGAGAATCAGTTATTGTTTCACTACAGTATTGTATTCTACTTCTTTCCTGGTAAATTACCAATGGAAATTGCATGTATTTATTACACACACACAATTTAGTAAATGGTTTAGCTAATGTGTTCTTCACTGAAATGTCTTATATAAATATGTTATATGTTTGCACTTACATACTAACTTTCATCTAAGGATCTCAGAATACTTTAAAACCATGAAACAAGCAAGGTTTACAAGATTACTGGCACACTGTATCGTTAATTTCATTTAAAAACCAAAAGATAGAGAGGTAGAGGAGTGGCGGAGTCAGGAACAAAATGTATGTCTACACCTCTAACTACTAGACAAAAATCTCTAAATCAACGGTAGCTCAGAATGGCTCTGTGTTTTTCAGTGTTGCTCATTGATTTCCCATTGAAATCAGTAGAAGTGTTACTGTTGACGTCACTGGGAACAGGATCAAGCTTTGGTTTTTAGCCCTGCTGAATTTAAGTGTTTAACAATGCAAGTGATAGCAGTGACTTGGGCCAATTTAGAAGGGGATTGCTGTTACTGTCTGCATAAGACTGACAGGGGCGGTGAGTTGTATGGGCCCGTGGTGCCCGTGCACCAGGAATATTCAGACCACGGTCGCCCGGCTCCACCAAAGTTCGGGGCCAGGTCTCTGCCCCGGCCCAGCTTGCCGCCCTTGCATGCCTCCCCCAGAGCATCTCCCGGCCCCATCTACCACCCCTGGGCAATTTAAAAGGGCCCGGGGGCCCCCGCCACCACCACCAGCAGTGCAGCGGGGCTAAAGCGGCTTCCTGCCCACACTCACTCCACACGGCGTGCCACTCCAGGAAGTGGCCAGTACGTCCCTGCGGCCCCTGGGGGCGGGTGTCTCTGTGCGCTGCCCCTGCCCCGAGCGCCGACTCTGCCATTGGAACTGCAGCAAATGGGAGCTGTGGGGGTGGTGCCTGCGAGCAGCAGTGCGCGGAGACCCCCAGGCCCCCCAGCTAGGAGCCACTGCCAGAGGGGTGTTAGGGTCGCTTTCGGGAGCCGCCCAAGGTAAGCGCCGCATCCCTCACCCCCTCCCGCACCCTAACTTTCTGCCCCAGCCCCTCACCCCCTCCCGCACCCAAACTCCCTCCCAGAGCCCACCCTCCACACTCCCTCCTGCACCCCAACTCCCTGCCCAAGTCCAGAGCCCTCACCATGCACCTAAACTCCATCCCAGAGCCTGCACCCCTTACCCCCTCCTGCACCCAAACTCCCTTCCAGAGCCCAAACCCCCCTGCACCTAAACTCCCTCCCAGAGCTTTAGGCAGGTGTGTGTGTGTGTGTGTGGGGGGAGGGGTCTTGGACCCGTTCTGGGCACCACCAAAAATTATACAAACTGCCGCCCCTGAAGACTGACCAAGCTGAGTTTTCAGCTATTCATGTGATTTACAGAAGGCTTAAACAATAGCAGTAACAGAGTTATCCATTTTTTTCATTAGCTACATTCAGGAAAACATGACATTGAAGAGCTGTGATCTTTCTATTGGGGCATGTCACAGTAGCCAAAAGAACTCCCTATAGAGATATGCTGAGCCAGAGGAATAAATTTGTTCAAATGGGAAGTCTAGAGAAAGAAAAAAGAACTGAGAATAGCAGCTTTCAGAAATGTTTCAAAGTAGCAGCCGTGTTAGTCTGTATCCGCAAAAAGAACAGGAGTACTGGTGGCACCTTAGAGACTAACAAATTTATTTCAGCATAAGCTTTCTTGGGCTGCAGCTCACTTCTTCAGATGCATAGAGTGGAACACACAGACAGAAGATATTTATACATACAGAGAACATGAAAAGGTGGAAGTACACATACCAATTGTAAGAGGCCAATCAATTGAGATGAGCTATCAGTAGCAGCAGAAGACAAAACTTTGAAGTGATAATCGAGATGACCCATAGAAGGTGTGAGAACTTAACATGGGGGGAAAAAAATTCAGTTAGTGTAATGACCCAACCATTCCCAGTCTCTGTTTAGGCCTAAGTTAATTGTGTCTAATTTGCATATTAATTCGAGTTCAGCAGTCTCTCTTTGGAGTCTGTTTTTGAAGTTTTTTTGTTGCAAAACTGACACCTTCAAGTCTGTCACTGAGTGATTAGAGAGGTTGAAGTGTTCTCCCACTGGTTTTTGAATGTTATGATTCCTGATGTCAGATTTGTGTCCATTTATTCTTTTGCGTAGAGACTGTCCAGTTTGGCCAATGTACATGGCAGAGGGGCATTGCTGGCACATGATGGCATATATCACGTTGGTAGATGTGCAGGTGAACGAGCCCCTGACGGTGTGGCTGATGTGGTTAGGTCCTATGATGGTGTCACTTGAATAGATATGTGGACAGAGCTGGCATCGGGCTTTGTTGCAAGGATAGGTTCCTGGGTTAGTGTTTTTGTTGTATGGTGTGCGGTTGCTGGTGAGTATTTGCTTAAGGTTGTGAGGCTGTCTGTAAGCGAGGACTGGTCTGTCTCCCAAGATCTGTGAGAGTGAGGGATCATCTTTCAGGATAGGTTGTAGATCTTTGATGATGCGCTGGAGAGGTTTCAGTTGGGGGCTGAAGGTGGCGGCTAGTGGCGTTCTGTTATTTTCTTTGTTGGGCCTGTCCTGTAGTAGGTGGCTTCTGGGTACTCTTCTGGCTCTGTCAATCTGTTTTTTCACTTCAGCAGGTGGGTATTGTAGTTTTAAGAATGCTTGATAGAGATCTTGTAGGTGTTTATCTCTGTCTGAGGGATTGGAGCAAATGCGGTTGTATCTTAGAGCTTGGCTGTAGACAATGGATCGTGTGGTGTGTCCTGGATGGAAGCTGGAGGCATGTAGGTAAGTATAGTGGTCAGTGGGTTTCCGGTATAGGGTGGTGTTTATGTGACCATCGCTTATTAGCACAGTAGTGTCCAGGAAATGGACCGCTTGTGTGGATTGGTCTAGGCTGAGGTTGATGGTGGGATGGAAATTGTTAAAATCATGGTGGAATTCATCGAGGGCTTCTTTTCCATGGGTCCAGATGATGAAGATATCATCAATGTAGCGCAAGTAGAGTAGGGGCGTTAGGGGACGAGAGCTAAGGAAGCATTGTTCTAAGTCAGCCATAAAGATGTTGGCATACTGTGGGACCATGCGGGTACCCATAGCAGTGCCGCTGACTTGAAGGTATATATTGTCCCCAAATGTGAAATAGTTGTGGGTGAGGACAAAGTCACAAAGTTCAGTCACCAGGTTTGCCATGATGGTATCGGGGATGCTATTCCTGATGGCTTGTAGTCCATCTTTGTGTGGAATGTTGGTGTAGAGGGATTCTACATCCATAGTGGCCAGGATGGTGTTTTCTGGAAGATCACCGATGGATTGTAGTTTCCTCAGGAAGTCAGTGGTGTCTCGAAGACAGCTGGGAGTGCTGGTAGCGTAGGGCCTGAGGAGAGAGTCCACATAGCCAGACAATCCTGCTGTTAAGGTGCCAATGCTTGAGATGATGGGGCGTCCAGGATTTCCAGGTTTATGGATCTTGGGTAGCAAATAGAATACACCTGGTCGGGGTTCTAGGCATGTTTCAGAAAGTCACCTGAATGGATTCTGAGTTACGGGCACACCCAGTATACTTGAAATACTGTTCAGCTACAGCACTGTATCTTCCTTTCAAAACAGCTCAGAGTCATATGCATTTATTAAAAAAGTCACTTGGTTTATTTCCAGAAACCAAAGATATATTGAACTGGAAACACAATAGACTAATACTTGAGGAAACCTTGTATATTTGTACTTTAAAACTGAAGTTCATCACCAACATTAAATAGAATCACCTTTCCTGGTTAAAACTTCTGCTTCCCAGATGTAATCTGGGAATGTTAGAGAGGGGGCATATGGTTTCTAAGAAGCTCATGTAGAGTTGTTGATTCTGATACATTCTTGCTTTCATAACCTGTGGAGAAATGAAAGGAATAAAAAAACAACATCTTGTTTGCAATTGGCAAACTAAATTGTATTCAAGTACACTTTTCAGTAAATAGCTACTCTAACAAATAATGCAGATTGCATGTTTAGTGCCTGTATGGGTAATCAGCAAAACCTTAATTATAAGAAAGTGGTCATTGTCACTGCCAACCAATGACAGAAATCACGAGTAGGAACTTACAGTCCAGTATTTGATGTGTTTAACATGGATCTCACTTTCACTATTCTGATATTCCCAGGCACCAGATCCCACTTTTGAGGCTGCACTGGAATTAAGTTTAATCGTAACACTGAATTTTTCACAAGGTTTTTATATAAATTAAAAGTGTTCAGGCAAAGAAACAATCAAGCAAAGCTAGAAATTCAAAGTAGCCAACCCCCCAGGCTATTTCTAGATCCCTGTTAAGATTATTAGGCACAGCACTATCAATAAAGGGCTTGTCTACCCTGCCCCACAGCTCAGACTATAGGGGTGTGAATAGCAGAGTGCACCAAAGTGGTGCTCTGTAACACCCCCATGCGGCTGCTGTGGATGTGAACTGAAAGGTTCCTAGTTTGCGTTAACTTAATTCTCTTCAAACAGGGGCCTTCAAATATGGGAGCCAGAGAGCTTGGCTACACTTGCGAGTTACAGCGCATTAAAGGAGCCCCGTGCGCACTAACTCACTACCCGTCCACACTGACAAGGCACATAGAGCACTCTGACTCCATGGCTAGAGCACTCCTGGTACTCCACCTCGGCGAGTGGAATAATGTTTGATGCGCCCCAGCCTCAGTGTGAACGAGGTGTTGCATTACTGCGCTCTGATCAGCCTCCAGAAACGTCCCATAATCCCCTTAAGTCAAGTGGCCACTCTTGTCATTGTTTTGGATATGGCCTTTGAAAGCTCCATTTGACAGCCGGTATGCTTATCTGCTCCGAGACAGAGCAACCATTACTGTGGAATGCTGTGTGAGAGAGAGAGAGGTCGGGGGGGAAGGGGAGGTCTACTGCTGTCTGAATTTACAAGACAGCATGCTGACATGTTCTCAGCCCCCCCCCCCCCAAACCCACTCTCTCGCTCCCCCCACATACACACAACACACTCCCTGTCACACTCCACTCCACCCCACCCCCATTTGAAAAGCATGTTGCAGCCACTTGCATGCTGGGATAGCTACCACAATGCACTGCTCTCTGTGGCCATTGCAAGAGCTGCTAATGTGGCCACACCAGTGCGCTGGCAGCTGGCAGTGTGGACAGATTGCACCGCTTTCCCTACTGCGCTCTATGAAGGCTGGTTTAACTCAAAGTGCTCTACATCTGCAAGTGTAGCCATGCCCTAACTCATTCCCACAAGAAACACCCGAGGAACCTAAACAGCCTGACTCCAGGGCAGTTTCCCATTCATGGATCACTAAGCAGAGATAGGCACTTAAATCCAGGCTACCGGGAGGAGCCTATCTCTGTGAGAGGGGCAGGGCTTAACACACACCCGTCTCCTCAGCATCTCCCATGGCTAGCTTAGACAGCTGCCCACCTAGCATGTTGGCTTTTTGTGAATTGCTTTCTTAGGTGCCTATCTCTCACCGTTCACTGTATAGGGAAGCCAGACACCTAACTGCTTTGTGGATCCCAGTGTTGTTCCTGTGATTTTTTTTTAGGTGCCTAGAAGTTAGCCACCATGACACTCAGTGCTGCAATGCCTCAGTCCCTTTGTGGCGCCCACTCTCCGTGACTTATCCAAGGTTGCTCCGCAAGACTGTTAGAGCCGAAAATAGGACCGAAGAGTCCTGACTCTCCATGCTAGCCACTAGAAAACACTGTCCCTCTAATGCACTGTACTTATTAATAAAATATAGTTCATTGCATTAACTCTAAAGATGCTATTTTTTTTTTTTTTTTTAGAAAATAACCATTATGCAATGGAATGATTTACTAACGTTGTTACTTTGTCAGATATTATGTTGGAGAATCAACCAACGTCCTGTTTGAAAGATGGTTTCATTGTGAGGATCTTGGCACACAACTTATACCGATAATCCAAGAGTAAGTCTGTATTTACTTTTCTGTTTATGCTGCATTTTGAATAGTGTTAACTGTAAAATTAGTCACCATCCTACAAAGAGAACCTCTGGCACGGTAGTGAGCATGCACAATTGCCACTGAAGTGGATGGGAGTCGTGTGTGTACCACACCTTACAGAATTATACCCTGTGCAGAGCACTGGACCAAGATAGAGCATGGGGAGATGTTTAGTGTAACAGGAATTAAGTTTCACTGTAACACTGAATTGATGTTAGCGCTGTGCCTAATAACCTTTTGGGGATGTAGAACTAGCCTGGGGGCTTGGCTACTTTGACTTTCTAGCTCTGCTTGTTTGACTGTTTTTGTTTGCCTGAACTTTTAAAATACAGAGAGAAACCTTAAAAATACAAAAGCAAAAAAACCCCACCACAGTTCCGTCCTGAAACTAATTCTTTGGAATTGCAGGTAAGACTAAAAAGGCCTGCTCAGTTCCACTGGGATATTATTAATGGATAATCAGTGTTTTGCTAAACTTGCTCGAGCATGTGAAAAGCAAATGTCTCCAGGCAACATGTAAACTTGTCCATTGATGTAAGTGAGTTGCTGTCTTCTCGTAAAGGGTGAACAACTAGCAGGGCAAGCTTTGTATTACAGGATGGCAAGGCAGTCGCCTAGAGCTGCAGAACATGAAGTCAGCAAAATGTTTAGTGACTATTGTGTGAATGACTTTGGGTTGTAAAGTGCCTTAGGGCCAAATCCTCTACTGGTGAAATTGGCATAGCACAATTGAAGTCAATGAAGCTATGTTTAGTTACACCAACTGAGGATCTGACCCTATCTATTTTGCAGATTGCTTATGGTAGTACACAACTTCATAGGCTATGTTGCTACATAATCTCAGCCTTCAAAATGTGAACATTAGGTTTTAGTAATGTTTAATGTTTATTATTGCAGGTTTTTCAGCTCAACACAATATCACACTGGAAAACCAAATCCAGGTAATGAAATGACTGTCCCAATTACAAAATTAATTTACATCTGATTAATTAAGCAGCAATGATTTTAACTGAATTAAAGTTATTTTACTAAAAGGAAGTTCTGTTTTTCCTTTCTCGCTGCTTCTGTAAATGAAAGTTACTTTGGAAGGAAAAATAGCAATTCTCTTTTACTGCACCAGAGACAAGAAAAATGCATATGTATGAGCGGCATAAGTACCTAGTCTGCTCATGCGAGGACATCAGAATGAACGATTTAGAGAATTATATAGTGCAAGATCTAAGAAACTCTGTTCTGCTTCCACACTGTTCGAGCACCATGCAAGCCAGAGTGAGTTTTAGTAAATCAAATCACCACACTGCACTGTTATTTCTCCTCCTTTACACAGGATTGTGTATTTTATCCACACTCTGAGAGTAGGGTTGCCAACTTTCTACTTGCACAAAACCGAACACCCTTGCCCTGCCCCCCCCTTCTCACTCCATCCCTCCTCCCTCTGTCGCTCGCTCTCCCGCCCCTCACGCACTCGCTCATTTTCACCGGACTGTCTCCTGGGATTGGGGTGTGGAAGGGGGTGCGGGCTCTGGGGTGGAGCCAGAAATGAGGAGTTCAGGGGGCTCCAGGCTGAGGCAGTGGGTTGGGATTCGAGCCTGCCTTAGCCCTGCTGACCGTACTTTTAACGGGCTGGTCAGCAGAGCTGACTGGAGCCGCGAGGGTCCCTTTTTGACCGGGCGTTCCAGTTGAAAAACAGACACCTGGCAACCCTCTCTGAGAGAAAGGGCACTTACTGTCTGGTCACTCAGGGCCTGATCCAAATCCCATTGAATTGCACTGGCTTCACTAGGCCTTGGATCAAGCCCCAGTGCTGATTGCAGTTGTGTTGCCCTAGAGTGGGTACTTAAGTCACTAATCTGTTCAAGTCAGCCCTCGGGTTGGAGTGCAAATCACTTCTCTTTGAGGCCCCCCAGCAGCCCAGATAGAGGTAGCTATGCAGACCTAACTCCCAATGTATTCAGTGCTGGGTTGAGGGACGAATTCTTCCATTGCCAAGCTACTGCCTCTCAGGGAGGTGGATTAAATACAGTGACAGGAAAACTGCTACAGCTGTAGTGCTACCACTGTGCCGCTGTAGCATTTTAACTATAGACATAGGCTTAGAGAGTATGAAAACTTTGCATAAAGAGTATTGTATCTGACCCTGTAATGGCATGCTAAACTGTATTCTACCATTCAGCCATTAGGTGGTGTCACGTGTAACATACCTTATCTGAGCTAGTAATAGCTAGAATAAGCACAGCATTGAAGGATCTTATAATGAACACATCTCTGGTGTTTCCCCGGGAAGGAAGCTCTGTAGTCAGTCCATATGTGATACAAGGGCCTGACCTGAAACTTACTGTGTACAAGAGCTACATGACAGACCCAGCATCAGTATTGTGTTCTCATGTACTCCTGGCAAGTGGGTTTCTGACAGAGGAGGGCTCCGTGCTTTCATGGGAAGCAAATTTTGTCTTCCCAAAAGCTCATGAGCTACTTACCTCATAGTATAAACAAACCAGTTTATTCTAACACAGGTGTCTCCCAGTCCCCAACAGGTACAGAGTGTAGAGCTGGGATCTAGGGTAGTCTGGCCTTGTGGTTAAAGCACTGGATTAGGATTTAGAAGATGTGTGCACAATTCCAGATCTGTCACAGGATTCCTGTGTGATTTTGGGCAAATCACTTAATCTCTCTGTGCCTCACTTCCCAATCAGTAAAACGAGGATTGTTTTTCTCCCATTCTTTGCCTGTTTGTCTATTTAGACGGTAGTCTCTTTAAGGCAGAGACTCTCTCTCAATTTATACTTGTATAGTGGCTATCACAACGGGGGCCTAATTTCAATTGGGACCTCTAGGTGATATTGTAATAAAAATAATATCCCCAATCTCACACACCGTCCATCCTTGGTAATTGTAATGATTCCCAATAAACACAAGTAAGATATATTTGAGCAAATCCCTTCCCCATCAGAACTGGGAGGTTGTAGCTCAGGAACAAGTGAATTATATTGAGCAGGGGGGAAAATGTAGAATACTAAATATTAACATTGGTAGTATTTTCACAGAAAGTAAGAACCACAGGCTAGACTGTCACATGCCATAATATTTCTTGAAGGTTTGCACATAGAACTGCAAGAAATTGTTACTTAAATCTAGCAAGGAAGATCTTTCTTCTGTTGCTGTTCAAAAGTCCTCCAAAGCCCAGGAGTCTAGGGAGAGTTTAATTAGAGCCAAAGGAGATATTTTCAAGAAAAAAAAAATTAAGCACTTAAGCGTATTACATTTGTTCTGAGCTCATTACATCTTTTTTCCCCTGAATGGTTTCCCACTTGGATTTAGCAACTGAATCCAGAATACAAATATTTTCACTGGTTTTTGGCTTTGCTCTTGCCCCAAGTAAAAGGCAATCAGAAAAAGTCTGTGCAGAATTTCAGCCTGGTAAACACCTCAGTGCTCCTGATCTGCAATTCTCAGAGACAGTAATAAACAGAAGCTTCCAGAAACCGCTTCTGTTGTGCAAAAAAAGCCACACATACCATTAAACTCCCATTAAACTCAGTGGAAGTTGTGTATCAGACCCTGCACAAAGCCATACTGAGGGGTGGGTAAGCTACTAACAAAAAGTCCGCTGATGGAGAGTGTACCCTCCCAGAGCTGTGATTTCCTCTGGGATCTATAATTTTCTCTCCGCGGTGCAATTCAAGGATCAGCATAAGATGCATGCAGTATGCAAATCCAATTTAAGCCCCAGGTACTTAAGTGGTCCACAAATCTTGCGCTGGTCCTGGGCAAAGGGGTGTATTTCAAGCAAGGCGAGCAGTCTGTTTCTAAGTCAGCAGTAATAAGGCTTCAGCAAAAGCTCTCTCAGCCTCATCTCCACGAGTCCCAGCTGTTCCACAACCTCTGCAGAGAGACAGAGAAAGAGAAAAATCTTCAGAGAAAGTCCTGATAGCAGCTCTCTCATACAGGAAAGCTATGAATGGAATCAATCACTCCATAACTATTTTTGTCTTGAGCTAAGTTTTCTCTAGGTTATTTATGTATTTTGGGCCAATTTTGGGCCTCAGTTACACTAAGGCAATCCTACTGAAATCAGGATTTACAAAGGTACATGCAAGGGTAAAAATAACCCTTTGGGATAAATTTTAAAAGAATGCCTACATCTGTGTGTGCAGTAAGTGAGCAAAATTATGCATGCAAGAAACTGGGCAGGTGCCTGTCTAAATAGCCATTTTCAAGGGCAATCACATGAACTGCAATCATGCACACATTTTTGCGTGCAGACCTCAGGCCTCCTTCCGTGAAACTACTTGTTACATTGCTTTACACTAACCTAAAGTTTTTCCACATGGTGATAAAAGCTGGGTTGCCCACCCCTTATGTAAACAAGAACCCCTCCTCTTATTTCCATGTAACTGTAACCCACACTCCTCCTGGGTGTGGTGTTCTGTCCCCTCTCGTGGCACTGAGACCACTTAGAGAGAGTTAAATGAGTCTGCCGTAGCTAATAGGCAGCTGGCTTTCAGCTCAGGCAGTAGAGGCTCATGCACTAAGCTCCAGAGATCCCCGGTTCAATCCCGTCCGCCGACAACCGGGGTCTGTTAGCGTTACATAACTTTAGCGCCCTCATGGCCAAGATGGAGTCCGCTCTGCAGGCAGCTCTGGCCAAGAGAATGCACGTGCAGGAATGCAGCAGGAAAAATCCCTTCCACCCCAGGGGCACCTCTTTCAAACCCCCCAGAGTGAACACCCACACCCACCAGAAAAGTACAATGGCTATAAGAAAGGGAAATATTTATTTACAGAGGGATGAGAGGAGAAAATCAACAAGGGGAAATATAGGGGGAGCAGTAAAAGAGGGTTGCATCCAAACCAAGGCCCCGTGGTAGCACAGTGAGAAAGGAGCAGACACCGAGCAATGTGTCTGCACACAGAGTTCAGGAGGCCTGAGCAAAGTTCCAGTCCAGTGGTGAGTCTTGGGTGCTCCTGGTCACCCTCGGCACCAGTAAACTTTCCCCAACAAACCCCTCCGGTGCCCTCTTCTGCCGCTCTCTGCAAAGCCACACAGAGCAACCACTTCCCCACTTAACTAGCTAGCAGTCTCCCTCCTTGTTCCCAATGCAGAGTCACGCCCCAGTACTCACAGCCTCATGCAGCTCTGGGCAGCTGTGATACTGGGTCCAGCTCTGGCCTGTCCTTCTCGGGCGATTCCTCCCTGGCACAGTGCTCCTGGCTCCTGTCCTGGGGTGTCCCTGATCGGCCCCCCTGTCCTTCCCAGGCTTCAGGCAGGTTCTCTGCTGCTTCACTTTGTGAGGGCCTGTGGGCTGCGGCCCTTCTCTCTCTGGAGCTCCAGAGCCACCCTGGAGTTTCCCTCCTTTCTCTCACTGCTCCTCCTGCCCCGTAGGAAAAAGATTTAAAGGGGCCATGTTTGTTCTCTAAACTCCAAAGGGGTTACATCTAGAATTAAACATGTTTTTAAAAAACCCATGATTTGGGGTCAAGGAAAGGTTTCAAATACATTTGTTTTATTATCACAGTCATGATATGTGGAACTGTTAGTGCCAAAATAACCATGGGAGTTTGTTCACTTGGGATTTCCAGCTGGAAGCCAAAGTGCCAGAAATCTCATCAGAAAACCTGATCATGTGACAGTGCTATCCCAGTTTTGCAAACTCAGAAAGTTCAGATCTGTTCAATAAGCTTCAGATAGGTATCCAAGGTCTCGGATGATTATTTGAACCAAACCCAAATGAAGGGCATGTCTACATGGTGCATTTGTCCGCACCAGAGGGGTGTAAATTCTAGTGCGCACTAGCATGTCGCACACTAACTGGCCCATGTAAACCCTGCTGGCCTGCACTAAAATTCCCTAGTGCACGGTAATGTAGTCCCGTTTCAAACAATATCATATTAACATGCCCTTGGGAACTTTTAGTGTGCACCAGCAGATTCCACATGGGCT